TATATCGCCTCTAATAGGAATGGAATTATTGTGTAAATGAAGGAAATAGAGTTACATGATGGGCATCTGGGAATTTTCACCAGTATCAGACAAAAATAGACTGGGAAAATTAATGGAGGATTTTGGGGTGTTAAGATCTTAAAATAAGGGGGTTGGGATTTAGCTCAGTGGCAAAAGTGCCTGCCTGGTATGCGCAAGGTCGTGAGTTCGGTTCCCGGTACCGGAGAAAAACAAAACAACAACAACAATAAAATCTTAAAATAAGTGTGTGATAAAATAATGAGTTTCAAACATGTGCTACTGTTTAATGTAAAGGAAGGCGAATTTGACCCCAGAGTCATAAACTCAGGTACTGCGGTCTTGGACCAAAGGATACCCTAAGTGATCTGCTAACTGTGATTCTGATTTGTTCATGTTGCTGAATCTTTCTTCACTTCCATCTTATCTACTCTTGAATGTAAGTGTACAAACCTACAATATCACATCACCCCATTTTGGGAGAAGAAAACTTGTAGTCTGGTACAAAAGCAGAGAGGAATTTAGCAGAAGAGATTGACATGCCAGTATCTCCTATATACTTGATTTAAATTATTTATATAAGGATATGTGGGTATTAGAAGAGGTGACATTCACATGAACTTTTGAAATTATTTAATGAAATTTTTGAAATGAGTAATAAGTCAGTTTCCACCATGAATAATTTTTCAGAAAACTATCTTGGTTGCCATTGTAGTTGCTGAGACAAATCCTGACATGAAAACTAAAGGAGAAAAAGTTTACCCAGCTCACAGTTTGTGCAGCTATTGTAAGGGATGGCAATTTTTAGCATATCATTTGAAGATAGAATAATTCTAGTCTTAATGCAAGCCTCAAAATGTGCCTTGAGAAACATCTCAGAAGAGTTGTAAAGATTTAACTTTGCAGTCCTGATTTAGCCCTAGAATGCTTATTCTTATTAGTCATATTCCCTAATAAACAAACCAGATGAAATTGAGTAAATTTTAAAAAAAAATTGTTAAGAACTCTACCAGTTTTAACTAGTGGTTAGCTTTTCTAATTTTTACAATCACAGTGAGTCAATATATTAAAGAGTGTATTTGTTCATGCAGAACAGTAACTTAGTAATTAATTCATTCTTGTTCATTCAGTAGTTAATCTAGCATCTGATGACTGGCTTCATTTAAAACAAAAGGTGTGAAGTTTTGGATCTAAAAGCATGATTTTACAAACAGGGGGCACCACAAAAACCAAGTAAATGACTTCATCACAGATATTGGTGAAGTTAGGCACTGGGTGGGGCAATGGATCCCTTCCACATGATGGTGCAGCTTTTAGAGACCAACTACCAAAGTGCAACCCCAAACCCACTTATGCATCGCAAACTTCCAACATTGCATTTAAACCTCAGTACTGAAGGTTTATGTTAGAAAACAAAATGATCATCCCATCGCTGCAGAGAAGGATCTGCATGCCCACTGCAGTCACACATTTGCCACCATTGCTTTAGGCCATGTAAAGATTTGGTTAAGTCAGATGGGAGCAAAGTCCTTTATGCTACACCCAATGGATGATGGTTGGTGAAATGTTAATTATAGAATAAGCCCTCCAAGAGAAGGAGGGAGATATGAGCAAGAGAAAATTAGGAAGAGAAACACTTTCATGAGGATGGACAATTTTCTCCCTACATTTTTGGAAAAGTTGTGCATAGCACAAAATTGTCAACTTCTTTTCCTGGTTGATGATATCAAGTATTTTTTTCCTTGCAGTACTGAGTACCAAAAGCAAGACTTACACATTCTAGGAAAACACATTGCTGCCACGCTACGTCTCTGCTCACTGGCATGAAGTAATTGATGAAGTCTCTGAGTTGCCCATGCAACACACATTAAGTGCGCCTTTCACAATTTGCAACAACTGGTCCAGTTCCAGTGTACGGGGCTTCAACGCTAGAGCAGCTCAGCAACAGAGCAGCTTCACTCTTATAAATTCTAAGAGAGAAAAACGCATTGCAGAACCCTAACAGAATTCAGGACACACCTCAATCTAAACATAAATGAGAAACATAAAAAACTCAGTGACGAATATGTAATGAGGTGTGCTATAGTTTTTCTTTCAAAGCATTTTCCCTGAAGTACCCCTCACTGCTACAAAATATAATCAGAGCACAGCGAATATAGTATTATCAAACTCAGCCAAAAAATTACATTAATCACTCTAGGGCATTTTACTTCTGTTTGCTAGAAAACTGATAAGGAACACGTGGTAATGCTTTTAAAAGGCTTTTAATTTTAGGGAGACAAAAAAAGACAGCTTCAGATAATTTAATAGTCTACACATTGCATTGAAAGAATTTATCTCTACTCAAGATTCCAGAGTGGTTTGACATCCCTGAGTTTGAGTGAAAATTACATTTTTCCCATTAAAGCATCAAGGGGTGATTATAGCCAGACATCCTATACATTCTCATATGCTATTCCAGCAAATGTTTGCCTATATAGTCAATATTTCCAAAAGTATCCTGTTCCAAAGGGAGAAGATATTATCTCATAAATGCATATAAATATATTGTCTTAAAGTTTTTTTTTGAGCTCTGCAAGGATCAGGTTAAGATAAAGAGTGAATATTTACATTTTTCATAGAAGTCCTTTGCAAATTGTTGAAATCTATATGTAATTTAAAGGAGAAATCTTTGTCTATAAGTAAAACATTTGAAGAAAGAGAAAATAAGGTTTCAAAAGTGTATTAATATTGTTCCCATTGGTTGATGTTGGTCTGTAGAATTATTCTATATTCTGTCTTGGTGAAGAATTTCATAAAACCTTGAGTTAGATTAGACTCCATGCATCCTTATTGAGCACCAAGGTAAAATACTAAACTTATCAGAAATCTATTCTTATCAGACTTCTTTTCAGGAATTCTTTTCAGGAATCTCTTGGGACTGAAGTATGTTATAGTTATTGCAAGTTAAAACAGCACTGAGATTCCATCTCATCCTGGAAAGAATGGCTGTTATCAAGAAATCAACCAATAACAAACACTGGAGGGGCTGTAGGGAAAAAAAGAACACTTCTCCACTGCTGGTGGGAGTGTAGACTGGTACAACCAGCATGGAAATCACTGCAGAGCTTCCTCAAAAAACTAGGATTGGATGTGCCATTTGACCAAGCTATTCCCCTTCTGGAAGTCTTCCCATAAGAATTAAAAACATCCTACTATGGTGATATATGTGCACCCATGTTTATAGCAGCACAATTTGTAATAGTTATATCTTGGAAACAACCCAAATGCTGATCAGCCAAGAAATGGATAAAAAAGGCATGGTCTTTTTATATAATGGAGTACTACTCAGCCATAAGGAAGGATGACCTGGAGACTTTTATATGTAAATGGATGTAATTTAAGACCATACTCATAAGCAAAATAAAGTGGAAGCAAATGTGTAATCATGGTATTGTTCTCTAGTGTGAGAAAATAAAAGAGAAAATAAGTAATAAGATCCAAAATATACAATAGATATTATAAAATGGGTTGAAACTTCAACAGGAAAGAGGAACTGGTTTAAGGGAATGGAAAAAAGAAATAAGGGAAAAGCAAAAGAAAAAAATATATATATATATGGTAGTTAATTTAGTTACATTACTAATTTCTCTTAGTGGAGTTGAGATATATCTGAAAAGATATATCTGTGCTAATATTGTTTGGACAATTAAATGCTAATGTCCCATATGCCGAGTAACTAATTCAAGAATAACAATATGCAATAAATTAACCATTGATACCCTCCTGTCATACTGTTTTGGAATTTTGGGGTTTTTTTTCTTTTTTGTTTGCTACTTATTTATTGTTTCTTTTTCTTTAAAATAAGAACTAAAAAAAAAAAAAAACCCTAGGATTAAATGTCCCATTCAACCTAGATATTCCCTTCTGGGTATCTTCCCAAAAGAATTAAAAACATCACACCACAGCAATATATGTGCACTCACGTTTATAGTAGCACAATTTGTAATAGCTAAATCGTGGAAACAACCCAAATGCCATCAACCAAGGAATAGATAAAAGATATGTGTTTTTTTATATAATGAAATACAATTCAGCCATAAAGAAAGATAAACTTGAAACATTTATAGGTAAATGCATACATCTTGAGACTCTACTCATAAGTGAAATAAGGCATACCAGCATGTGTAATCATTGTATTGTCTCACTAATGAGATAATCCAAAAGAGAAAACATGTGCTAAAAGATACAATAGATGTGGTTAATGTGGAAAAAAACTGATCAAAACAAAAGAAAAACTGTGATGGGGCAAAGGGGAAAGGAAGGAAGAGTAAAGGAAAAAAATATATACACATGCAAGACAGTTAAAATAGGTATACAGCTAGTTTCTCTTGGTTCACTGAGGGAAAAGTTTTGTGTAAGTAATTTTCTGGACAATGTTTCATGCCTAGATCTTATATTCTGAGAATTACTGAGACAACAAATACGCAATGTGTTGATTATTGTTCCTTTCCTCCTAATCTGTTTAAACTGTTTTATTGTTATATCTTGCTTTTTTGTTTAAAATTGTAAAAAATGATTAAGACAACTCAACCAGTAATATGAAATACAATATTGCTTCAGTAAATAAGAAGTTAGTGGTGCTTGAGGTTAAAATAAGTAGAGAAAATGAAATAAGTATGTCTTTGAGTAGATCCGATATTGAACATAAAGTAGGTAGCCATGTCAAAGGTGCTGTAAACCTCAGTGATCAAAGGCTAACCTATCCTTCCTGCAGAAATACAGGGCAACCCTCTGATCATCTTCTGGTCAACTCAAGTCACCTATGTGCCACAGAGGCTTGATTCCCAATGTCCTGTAAGACAAGTTACTCTCATGTGCGTTCAAATCCTCCTCATCCAAATAACTCAGTTCATAGCCTCCTGGTTTCAAGATGTGTCACCTCCTTCCACAAGCGCAAGAAAGAAGCAAAAACATTTAGATGCTGAGCACAGTATTATATTCCAAAAGTAAGGTAAAGCCTAAATTAAGAGAATCTTATGTAGCAAAGAGTCTCTAGAGGAGTTTCAGTGCAGGAAGAGGAAATCAGACATTCTAAAATTAAATGCTCCTCAGGCCCCTATTACAACTGCTCCAGTAGCTCATGCTGTGCTTATCTCAGTTCTGCATGCCCCCAGCTAATCACCAGCTCCCTACAGGGACATTTGAGTCTGGGCTCACACTGATGTCCCCTCAACATGACTTCCATGCAGTAATACATGGCTCTGTCCTTGGCTACAGTCTGCTCAGTATTAATGAAACCAGGTGCTTGGATGTGTCCTTGCTGAAGCACAGTTGGGACTTAACAGTTCATTTACACCCTGTGTTTCCATGATTTAATTTCACACTAATCCACTGCAGCCCCTTTCCTGCAGCCTGAAAGATGGAGGTGGCGCCATAGCTGGATAAAGAGAATGCAGAGATGGTGCAGTTGAGGAACAGAGTCTGCAAGGGCTTCACCAGGCCAGGTCTTCACTCCTGCAGCTGAACCTGGGGCAGGACACGAGGGGACAAGGAGCATCGCCATCAGTCAAACACACCAGATGTCTCTCCCCTGAAACTCTGAGACACTCAGAGCAGGGCGCCACCATGAGGCAGAGGAGCTACCCCATGGTATACGTGGTTTGATGCAGGAGGCTCCTGTGAAAGGAGACAGGGACTTGAGCCAGAAGGTCAAGGCACAGGTTTGATAATTTCTCTGTTCCCACTCCAAAGAACCAGGAAAGAAGATTCCTTCATTGGTGACAAAGACCACCACATGTATCCATAGATGACTTCTATGTCCCCGGTAAAGAATAATGTCCAATCTGCCTTCATTACAATACTGTGTGGTCTTGATAGCACTGAAGGGAAACTCCCTTTCTTTGGACTCTTTAATGTAAGTGCAGATAAGGAGACTGTATACTTCAAAATGTAAGTTTTCTGTGGCCATTTGGAAGCCACAGAAACAGCAGGATTCTTTAATTTGAACTTAATGCTTGTCTTACACATCTGGTAAATATCATGATACTTGTTAGAAAAGATGACAGAATATGTTCAAAGTCGAGCTGGCTAGGATTCCAGTCCCACTAAAAGGCCAGGCTGTATTCTCCTTTTTGGCCAGGCAGAGTCCCTTCAGAGGTGACAGCTGCAGCTGCTGCTGGTCTGTGGTGGAGGCAAGCAGAGCACAGAATGAGAGCATGGTGCTTCATGGGGGAGCCAGGTGAAGACCTGAGCAGGGGAGCCCAGGAGCATGATCCTACAAGCAAAGATTATATAGCGCTACTTGAAAAATTTTCAACGTGGCTTTCAGGAAAATATATATTTATACCACCATGAGATTCCCATCATTTAGAAAGCTTAATAAACAAACATTGATCAAACAAATTCCAGAGCAGGGTAAGGGTAGCAAGGACACTTATTCCTGGGTGATGGGACAGTAATTATTTTTATGTGACAGGCAGTTTGGGATTTTCTTATGGAAGTGAGGCTAGTGATGAAGCATGAGATCTGAAGAGTTCACTCACCTAAGCTAAACATGATGTTCTCAAACATCCAAAGAGCCTTCCATCACCTTTATTCTTTTCAGCTCTCCACACTGGATGAATATTGCTGGTAGGCACAGCTGGAATATCTGCAGAAGCCTTGGAAGAAAGAAGGAGGATTGGAACCATCAGCATCAGCCACCTGTGCAGCAAAGGATGCAGAAATTTCTTGGGGAGGAGAACAAACGTCAGCAAAGCTACCAGTGCTCAGCTTTGGAGAGTCTACCAGTCAGAGCCTCCACCCCTCATCAAACCTGAGGGCACTCTTGTAACCCACGCTTCATCAGTCCTATTCCTGGTATGCACCCAAATGAGTCAGACACATGTGACACCTATGGTGGGGTCATGGCACTGAATATTTATGGAAACTATAGAATGAAGAGCACCGGGCGAGAACCCACACGAGATCCATAACCATGAGAGATAATGCCGTGTCACTGTAAGTACAAACACAGAAGATCTATGGGATGGGACGCTGGTGGTGGATATGTTGTACATGTGGATGGCACAGATTCGTAAGAGATTTCTTTCAATTTTACTGTGCACATAAACCTGTGATGGAGACCACTATGAAGCCGCCTCTAGCAGGACTTAAATTAACCAATTGGATTTTTATGTTTAATTTTGAATCTATCCAAAGCTCTAGACCACTTGTCTGCAAGTGGGCAATGTACTCATAGTAGATGAACGTCTATGAGTCACTAATCCCTACTCAAACCTGAAATGGTAGATGAAGCCAGAAAGCCTCAAAGGATAAGACAAGATCATAGCCAAGGACACATGGATCTGACCTCAAGTAGATAAAGACTATAGCCTCAGCCATCTCACACCTGGGTAGTTTAATTTAAACCTTATTAAGAATTAATTTAATACCTCACTTGGAAAAGTCCTAATTCCACCCTTCTTGAGTACTCCCCTCCCTTCTTCAGATACCCAAATAATACCGGCCACCCAGAGAAGGGGTTGGTCTTAGCCCAGGGAGAATATCAAATTTCATGAGAGGACTTTGATCCCCCTGGAGCCCTGAAGTCATTTCATTTGCCTCTTTTTATTTAGCTTTCACTGTATACTTATTTGGGAGGTTGTGGACCTGATCAGTTTACAATAACTAAGGAATATTATTAAAATGATAAACCTGCCCTATAAAAAATTATGCTTAATAGAATTGGTAGACACAGACTGGTGATCTTTTAGAAATTAAAAATATTTTTGTCATAGGATTGAAAAACTTTGATGCTCATTATTTGTCCACACGATTTGAGATACATGCCAACACAATTACCTTCTGGGCATTGCTTGTTTCAACCTTACTCATTTTAAGATTTCTCTACTCCTTTTCTTTTGCATGTAGGATGACTGTGGTGTGGCTAATTCCCAAACATTTAGGATGCAGCCCTCTTTCTCTTGTTATTTTCCTCCATTACTTCAAATATTTTCAAGCAAATCTACCAATCCTGTGCTTTCTCCCAAAAGCAGCTGCTCCTCCCTCAGGGTTTCTGAGACACTCAGGGTATGGTCAGCACACTGTGTCTCACACAGCAATATACAGCTCTGTCTTCAGACCTTAGACTGCTCAGCTCCATATAGGTTGTGCTGGAGGAAGGGTCTGCAGTGAGGGTTGCCCTGCCCTGGAATGTCTGTGCATAGCCATCACTAGGATCAATCATTCCAATTCACTCCAGACCCTGTGCAGGGTTGTTGAACACAGGGGATCCAGTAGTCTGTGAAGGAACAGCCAGAAACCTTGCAATAGAACTTCAGTGAGGCCCCAGGGCTCCTCACCTCAGCCCCATACTGCACCAGGTGCACCTGGGTGTGGGCATCTGTGGAGAGGACATAGGAGTGGAGGCAGTGTCCTATGACAGACTCTGGTCCCACCTTCAACCCCGGGACTGCGTATCCCCTCACCTGTAGTAGTTGCCAACAAGAAGAGGATTTCTCAGGTGCGGTCTGTGGTGGCAGCTATATTCTGGTGGATTCTGCAGAGAAGGGTCATGGATGTGGAATGCTAAGGGGCATAGAGACTTAACCTTATTTACTGCAGCAGACTGAGGTTACTCATGAAGCAGTGGCCCTCTTAGTTCAAGACCTGACCCAGCCTAAGAAGGAGTAGGCGGATGGCACATTGGTCACACAGCAGTGGGCTACTGGAGTATCTATCCTAATCTTGTCTGAGGAAATGCTTCCCCTGCCACCTTCCTGAAGCCTGTCAACAAGAGCTCCTCAAAATGAGAATCAGGCCCCTCAGAATAGGCTGTGCAGTGTATATCCACCTGTGAGTGGTCCCTAGATACCAGAAACTCTGCTGGATCATAAGAGTCTTTGATGCTCTGCAGGTTCCCTGCCCCATCCTGCTTCTGTCAGGTCTCAGCAGAGCTCATTGTTGAATCTGAGAGACAGACGCTGCCCATTCAACATGGGAACACAGGACCATGGACTCCTTTGAGAACAGCCACGCCTCCTGGGGTGGTTTCCCCAATACTTTCCTGGTCCCTGAGTGCCAAGCTCGTCCACGGGAATGTCTTTGTTTCTGAGATCAGCCCTGTACTGCATGGTCCAGTGGTGAATATCTGATCTCAAAATTATGGACTTAATGGAGATCATAACTCAGTTTCCAGAATCTTCCCTAGCAATTTGCATAGATTATGTGTAGGTCTCATTCCCCACTACACAAAACAGAATTCTGCCATTTTTAGAGGAAGTGATTTCATACTTTATGTTCTTTTCCTTTACCCATTGATCTGCTCCACACGGCCCATAAACCTGGCAATTTCTGATCCTCAATTTCCCCACTCCATAACCAGCCCTGGAATCAACACAAACACCTCACAGTGAACATCACATTCCCAAGAGCATAATGTCTCCCAAAATGCTGCAGCACAGGTATTAAAAATAAACCCAATCTTCCCTCCAAGTCTTTACTACTGAGATACCCAAAGCACTTCAAACCCCTCTTCTGTGGCTTCCCTTGCATGTTTAAATAAATCCTCCCAAGCAAAGTAGATAATTGTCATACACATTTGGTCCTTCCTTACAGATTTTCAATTTTAGATCAGTATTTAAATAATAAGGACTCAGGCCCTAAAAGAACCCACCCCAGGCCCTGAACCAGCTCATTGGCTGCAGCTGTCCAGTATGATGCTGAGGCTTGTACTGCTCCCCACCCACAGCACCATTCCTGCCTTGGTCCCAGGGTCTTTCTGACAGCATCTGTAGCCCACAGAAAAGTGTTACACCAGCTTCAGTTGCTCTTTCAGGAAGACTCCGTGATTCTGACCTGTGTCCTGTTGCAGGAGTCACTCCTACTACACCTTCTACCCTTCAAGGAGATGGTAACCCACTGGGGCTTTGTGAGGGACAGTACAATCTGAACAGCAACATTCAGAGGAGAACACATACTCTGGGTGAGGAGTCACAGTCCTTTAGATCTTTTGTGTGAACTCATGCCAGGACAGAGCTGCAGGGACCTGGGGTGGCTCAAGCCATCTCCCTACCACCTCATTTATGAGGCTGCAGCACAGATGGTGGCTTGAGTTGGAGGATGCCCCATTCATCCCCAGCCTAGACTTATGCTCAGGAGCCTGCCCTGACTCCTTGATATCAGCCTCACTTTGTTCTGAGCATGATGCAGGCACAATGTGAGGACACGGGCAGGGTCTGTAGTGCACTCGTCCCTGCTCACTTGGGGTGGTGTGCTCCATGGGAACTCACTCTTCATGTGAATTACTGAGGCTCCAGTGCAGAGGAGATTTCCACCTGTGTCATCACAACCCCAGTCCTCTTGGTGTTACCTGCAGGAAGGTTCTACAGGTCTCCCTACCTCAGAACAGTTATACATGAACTGAGAAAGGATGTGGGTGACCCCAGCAGGTCCTGGTTCCTGTGCTCAGAGGTTGGCCCTTTGCAATACAGCTTCCAGCACCAGTGGGACTATGTGTCCCACACACCCTGGCTGGGTCCCTGTGCTTCCATCCACTACTCAGCCTTCCTTACGATGACCCAGTCCTGCTGATGCCACCAGAGATAGGAGTCATGAGCTGCAGCCAAGAAAGTCACATGAGTCTGTGGGTCCGCTTGGTGTCCCCTGACACCTTATCTGCATCATACAGACACCAGGAAACACAAATGTGGAGGCAGCACTATTATTCACTGTCCTTGATGATGTTTTTTCAGGGTCACCTGGTTGGGAAGGCAGCTCACTGGTGAGTTGGATTAAGTCCATAAGAGACACACAACTTTAGCAGGATAAGTTGTCACTTGGAAGGACACAGTGGTGTCTTGGTGGACTCCAGTTTCTGGTCTCTTCTCCTGACCTCAGAGCCTGGACAGCCAGGGACAAAGACTCACACATGAATCTCCTCCAGTGAAATGTGAATTCCCTGCAGGAATGAGTGTGTGCCCCTAGAAGTGTAATTCTCTCATATCCCATGGACACACCTGGATGTTCCCAAAATCCCAGGAAGAGGAAAAACCTTGCAAAGGACACCAAAGGGAGAGGGAGAAATGAGCTTGAGTCCTGAGTCCTGAACAGTGTCGGGCACAGGGTGGAGGTGAAGGACGCACGGTGCCGTCCTGTTCTCCTCAGTCTCCTCTGCTGTCTGTGCTCCCTCCAGTCCTCTTCTAGGATGGAACGGCTTCCTGCAGGGCCTTCAGCTGTAGTCCACTCTCATCAACCTGGTGTCCGTGAGCAGAGAGGATTCTGTGTTCTCATGGGGAAGTCTCTATGACTTCCTGGATCCTGGATGTTGACAAGGGATGTCCAGAGGTTTGGTTCATTTTTGCCTAAACTCTACTCCATCTAGAGAAGAGGGCTTTGCCTTTCCTTTATGAACTACTGTGCTTCCTTCATGTCATACTGGACAGCTGCATGACTGGCTTGTAGTGAAGAAAATGTTTTTCCTGCAGGTAAGATAAAGTTGGAAAATTCCTCCCCTGAATGTCTGTCTGGAGGGGGCTCTGTGTGCTTTTCTGGGTGACAAGTCTCTCCTTTCCTCTCTGAAAGACTTGAGGGACCTCTATGGCTCTTCAGCTTGAGATCTTGGAGGGCACTGGAGGGAATGTGTGAGGTGTATGTTCCCCTGGGAGTCGCCCCTCCCTCTGGTCCTCTCCTGTCCCCCAGTCCTCAATCATCTCCCCTTCAGTGTTCCCTCCACTGTGTGCCTCCAGCTCCTTCTCTGACAGGGAAATAGGGCTCGTCCGTGATTCTCCACCTTCCTTTCTCTACAGCTTTCAGAGTGATTCTTGTTTCTGTAAACTGAGTTCATAAAATGAGTATGGAAGTAATATTTTTCTGTGTATTGATACACATGTCCAGAAAGGTAAATGTTAAACCTGATTTATCTTTTAAACAATACATACAAATATACACATATTATATAATCCCCCATCAATATGGAGACATTATTATTTTAAGAATCAGTAAAATAAATTTAAACAAAAGTGAAGAAAATATGTGGAATGGATTGAGAATAATTGGAATTATTTCTTCTTTAATTATTTGGTAAAATTAGTCATTGATTTCATCAAGTTCTACTATTTTGGAGAGAGTCAAAAAAAAAGAAAAGCATGAATTCCTACACAAGAGTGAATGAAAATTTTTCATGTGTCATCTTGTATATGTAGAAGTCACATCTGAGCAGTTCTGATTCACTTTCAGTACTAATCTTAGCTTGGTTTAGATTTTTTTTGTTCATGATTGGCGGATTATATGTGTTCAGGAATATATGCATTTTTGTAGGCTTATATTTAGCCACAGCTGCAGAAAACAAACTAAAACTACTGGATCTCATAGTATTTCTATCTGCAATTTCATGAGAAAACTGCCTAGAGTTTTTCATAATACAAAGATAGTTTCATCTGCAATAATTTGCATTCCCTCCCACAATGAACTAGGGTTCCATTTCTTCAACACACTTTACAACACTTGCTATTATTTATCTTGTTAAGTCACTGCAACAGATGTCATACCATTATTTGTTGAAATGAGCATCTTTTGTCAACTAAATACTCTTACACTGTGTAAAACATAAATTGCACATGTATGTGTGGATCTATTTGTAGTTATGGTAGTGCAGTGAAGGTGTTTTGTACAGGGTATGGGGGTCAGGGGTCCTCCATTTAGTCTAAGTCAGGATCATCTTCTTAGACAAAAAGGATGGATTTGATACACTGATACCAAAATTTACAGAGATGAAATTCTTGGTGGATGCAACTTCAGCTCCTGCCCAATAATTCCTGGCTGCTCTTGCTCATGTCCTGCTCCATGTGCCTCGGGTACCGCTGGTCTCCTATGTCCGTTCCTGAGAGATCAGGAAACAGTGGTACAACAGTGTGCATTGGGGACTCCATAGGAGACAGGGAAGGAGGGGCTTCTGTGACAGTCAGATGTGCACAATCAGTTCTGACATCACATCCCATCCCATCCCATATTAAGAAAGCAATTTTACTTTCACATTACTAATATTCTTGCTTATTTCCAGAAATTGGGAAGCAATTAAATATGTGTAATTTATAATATATTTAAATGTGGAAGAAAGGTGAGTGTCCTGCACAGGGATAAGTGAGAGAATTCTTCATGTGTCACCTTGAGTATGTGGAAGTCACATCTGAACCTCTTCTGAGCTCCAGGAAAAGTACCTGAGCGGAGGATTAAAACCAGAGTCCTTGTCTTTCATTTTAAGAAGCAGATAAAAACAGATGGAGAGGCCTGGGATATAGCTCAGTGGCACAGAAACTGCCTGGCAAAAACAGACAGAAGAATAAAAAGTAAAGAAAAGTCAATCATTTAAAAAGAAATGAGGGGACTGGGGACTTAGCTCAGGGGCAAAGCACCTGCCTGGCATGCGCAAGGTCGTGAGTGTGATTCCTGGTACCGGAAGAAAAACCAAAAAAAAAAAGAAAAAAGAAAAAAGAAAAGAAATTAGATGAGCTCTGAGTTAGACTTATGCAGTTATGCATGGGAGGGTGAGTAAAATTTAAGTTTTTAAAAGTTTTATCCATTCCAGATCCTGGGATGTCTCTCTCATGCCTCTATTCTAAATATCAAAACTGGTGATGAAAAGGGAATATCACTAAGATGTCTTTTTCATTAGAAAAAAGTTCAACATGTTCTCTGTGTATCCTCAGGTTCCAAATCTCAGTGACCAGAGAGGACTCATTTGTGGCTCAAAAATGACATCTGAACACGTGTGCAGGTGAGAATATATCTTCCTACTAAATCAAATCTACTTCAGGAACGTGAAAGACAAGTATTGACTGATGAATGCAGAGTCTGCTGGGGATTTTGTCTCATGGACCGGAAGCTTCACATCCTGGCAAAAATCAGACTGATCCACACTCTGCACCTGTCCTGCACTGATGTTGAACTCAATGTGTCCTTAGCGCCCCCTGCTGGTCTGAGCATCACAACAGAGAGGTTTGTGTCTGGGCTCTCAATGACGTCCTCTCACTGTGTCTCTTGCACAGTAATACAGAGCGGTGTCCTCGGTTTTCAGTTTGGTCATTTGCAGATACATTGTGCTTTTGGCGTCATCTCTGGAGATGGTGAATCTGCCTTTCACAGAAGTAGCGTATTCTGCTGTATTACCATTAGCCTTGTTTCTAATAAAACCAACCCACTCCAGCCCCTTCCCTGGAGCCTGGCGAATCCAGCTCATGTAGTAGTCACTGAAGGTGAATCCAGAGGCTGCACAGGTGAGTCTCAGGGACCCTTCAGGCTGCACCAAGCCTCCGCCAGACTCCACCAGCTGCACCTCAGCCCGGACACCTGCAAACACAGAGACATCCTGCTCAGGAACCTGTCATTCATGTCCACCATTTATCCCACTCCTGTCCATGCACACACTCAGTATCTCTTGTTCTTCATTAATTACCGTTTAAAGCAGCAACAAGAAAAACCCAGCTCAGCGCAAGCTCCATGGTGGGCTGGCTTTGCGCAGTCCTGATCATCGAGAGGAAACACCTTGTCATCCGGGGTTGGGCTCCTCTCTAGAGCTACAGGGTCAGGGCTGGGATGGTTTACATAGGGAGAGAGGGGCCCTATTTGCATGTTCTCCTGCTCTATAGCAAACTCCTTGGACAGGAAGCAGCAAAATTTCAATACCAGAGTAGATGGGGGTTTGGATGTTAAATCTGTGGAAAATAATAACATTTTGTAAAATAAGAATTTTATGTAACTATGTCATAATATTCATGTATAAATTCACAATCTTAATTTTACTTTTATGCATTCAAGCAATATATGATGCAAGTGTCAGTGTTTGCTCCATTGTACAATGTATTATTCCTCAGAAGCACAAGTGGGCGACTCTGTGTGATCAAGATTTCATACTTGGTGTAAGTCCAGTACACCCAGGTCCTCCCTCACTATCTCCAGGTCACAATCAGACAGGCTTAGTGAGATTCACAGAGCCTCTTTTCTGTATTAAAAATGTGCTCCTAGTTTTCTACCTCAAGTATTACTTGTTCTTCAGGGATGAACTTCCTGTGCACATGAGGGTCACACTGCATTGAAGAAGGTTGTCAGTGACCTGTGAAGCAGTCTTGACTCAGATGAGGTAAAGGAGGTTTGCACAGATCTGTCAAATACAAATGTTTCTACAATTTGTTTGTGCCCAAAATACATAAATTTTGTAAGGAAAAATGTAATATAGTGTCTTAAATCATCTGTATATCTGTCTAACTGTAGTCCATTTATCTAATGATCTATGTATCTATGTTATTTATATACCTACTAATGTAGATCAAATATACTCAATTATTAAATAATTACCCTATAATACCAGAACTATCTAATGTATGCTGTGCCCATTCAAACACATTTTTACTTCTCCAGCAGCTTCTGTTTGGATTATCAAAGTGGATTATATAATATTTATCATAATTCAGAACAATATACCTAATGAATGTGACTTCATCTAATGTTTTCCTTCATTGATACTTTTTAATTGTATATACAAGGTTTATAATGTAGTTGAATTTTCATGCACAGCTATGACATTATCCTGGGTACTAGATACATTGTCAGACTTCACATCCAACTCTGTCCAGGGTGAACAGATCCCCCAAACTAGGTGCCCACAGATGTATAAGAAAAGTAAGAAAAGCATCAAACCAAGAGAGCCAAAATCCTGTGATCAGGTGCTCAGGTGCTAGCAGCCTCTGGAAATGACTGACTCCTGATTACCATTTTCAGTTACCTTTTATTCAGAATCCACCCAGGAGGCAGCAGAGGAATCAGAGAATATCAACTGTTTTAGCAAGGACAGTATAACTCAATTATCATAAGAACACGACCTGACCAGTAAGCCATCATGTTATCTTCCTTCGCCCATATCTCAGCAAAGCATCTAGTATAGATCCGAGAGCTTGCAATATTTATGCTAGACTTCCTCCATAACCCAACAATCATGGCTTGGTCAGGCCTCAGGCAATACACAAAATAGTAACTAAAGAATGTCCTTCTCCACAGTACATATTTCATTGAGGTTGCAATTATTTCTTTTCTTGCTCACTTATAATAGTTCCTGCTTCTGCTCCCATCTGTGGACATCAGTGTGTCTGTAAGACCACCCACTTCCTTGAGGGGCAAATTTGAAGGACTTAAACATCCGATAATGGTGCAGACAGGGAACTTCGACAGAGTTACAGAAGACAGGCTGGGTTAGCCTGGTGTTTAGCTACATAATAATAGTTATAGGTTATCAATTTTGTGGTCTATATGTTATCAAGTTTGAAGTCCAGAGCATAAAATTTTTTGATATTTTGATGGAGAGAATCTTCATCATTTCAAAAAACTGCACAATAACATGTACTTTTAGAAGAAACAAATGCATTATAGACAGATAGAAGCATGTACCTCACTTCACAATCCCGGGGAACTTTTTTGCTGGGTCCTCCTATCATTGAATCCCAGGACTGTGATTGAGACAGCATAGGTAAGGGAAGGTGGTGAACGGAACACAGCGCCATCCCACCTCACTGAGGGATTTTGCTGATGAAACTGACTTCCACAGAGCTACATTTGCAAAACACTCAAGATTGGGGATTTCTATAGAAAACTAAATTTTATGGTAATAAGACAAGGCTTTTCATTATGTCAATATTAAAATATTTTCCCCCACACTCTCAGAAAACAGAAATCTGCTGTAAGCACTGTCACCTCAAAATATCACTTTTACACTCCTGTACTCCTGTTCTTATTTGTCTCCTGCAATGATTTGGAGAAATGGAGAAAATTTGTGCATATGCCATGAGTTAATTCCTAGGACAGCAGATAAGCATGGAAAGAGTGAGCGGGTCCTGGGTCTCTATCTCACTGTCTTGTCATGGAGCCCCTTCTGCACCTGGCCAGGCCCACTTACATTTCTCCACCATCCTAAGCTGCAGCTGTGGGAATCCTCTCCTGAGGCTCAGAAGTTGTGGACATGTGATGTTGGATATTTAACCGCTGAGACTTGGAATTAAATAGACATTTTTCCTTCTCAATTTATCCAGCCTCTCTGATTTTGTTATAGCAACATACATTTTTCTAAGGTACACAAACATAAACATATTGATCTCAGAACATGGAAGAAATGTTTCTAACACATTGAGTCCTCTGCCTATAATTTGATTGTGTGCTTGTATTTTCAAGTGTTTCCCTTTAGTGTTTTTTTCTGAACTGCTTTTGGTTTCAAGAAGTTCATCAGCTAGTCATTGTATTTTACCTGTGAGTGATGATGTAAGAGTCCATTGATAAAACTTCATTCTGGAGAATTAGTTGTCTTTAATCAGTTTGAGTAGTTACAGTTCTGTTTTGAACTTAATCTCCTGGCTGTGGCAATACTTTGTCTTCCTGACAATTCTATCCTTGCTCCCTTTGTGGAACAGTGGGTGAATTTCCTTGGTACGCAGATTCAAGCATTCCAGCTGACACTGGAACATTATTCTTTTGATTCAAAGGCATGAGGAAGCAAAATTGGTCTGGTGTCTAGTGAAATACTGAATTCTTAGAGGAATTTATTTTTTTTTCTTTTTGAAGTATCCCTCCTTTCAGAAATAAAATGTCTGAAACATTTGACCATAAAACATTTGAAGCAGAAAAAAAAATGTGTTAGTGTTGCACTAGGCCTTTTGGTGAGTGATATCATTTAAATTTTTAACTCTTGATTTCTGTACATCCTAAGATGCGATCTTTGCACTCTGGGTGTCAGTGATAGGTTTGTGGGACACAGACATCGTGCGTAGGACCTACTGATGGTCAATCACCATGTCAGTAGCACCCCCATTGTTTGTGGTAGCCAGGAGGAGTTGGAGTCAGAGGAGTCTCTTTCAGACACTGTGCTGAGTGTGTCTCAATTCAGATTTGCCCAGTGCTGTCCCATGATTAGATGGGGATTAGTGGGAGAGCAGCACAGGAATGAGCATCTTCCTAATCACATTCTGTCAAAGGCACAGGCTAAAACATCACTTGCTCTGCTGTTTCTGAACTTGATTACTTGGCGAGGCCCTGTGTGCCAGGGTTCTCTTGTGCTCTTCTGGTTTCTCCTTTATTATGGAAACCTGCTAGACACAGAAAGGCAGACGCTGCATGATTCTACTTACATGAAGAACATAAAATGATGATCCTCAGAAAGGGACAGAATAGAATGATACTTTTCATGGACTTGTTGGGAGGGAAAATATCATGTTGCTATTCACAGGGGCAGAATTTCAGTTGTGAAAGAAAGGCAAATTGGAGTTCTACTGTGAAACTCATGTATATAAGTAACAATCTTCCTTAAAATACATAACTTTAGAGAGAAATGCATTGTAAATTTTCACGTCACAATAGAAAAGAAATGTGCAACAGAGTTCTTGGGAGGTAATATATGCAGGATTTGCTTTGACAGTCATAATGATTTGATAACTCTATGTATGTTTTTTTATATCCAAATACATCAAGTTGCATAAATTACATATCTACTCTTTTAAGTTACCTATGCCATTAAATGAGGTGAGATATGTGTGTAGTACATATATCAGTGGTAGGCATATGATTGGGGGAGAAATATTAAATATGTAGCTTACAGTGAGATAAATAATTGATTACAGATAATTGATGTGAAGGTATAGATAAATACAGGGATCTAAACTCGAATATAGGTGTAAGTAGTTACACATATAATTCTTAAATTATTCATATTTACATTGATGATAGATAAAAATTAAAAAGTTGGTAGGTAAATAAATAAAAGTCTGATGAAGCATAGATGGATAAATAGATAGGTAGATGGATAGATAAATAGATAACTGTACAAGAAGGTCATTGGCCAGATTTAATATACAATGTTGAATTCTCTTCATAATTTTTCAACTGCAAATGATGTGACTAACTGCTTATGTATGTGGACATCTAGAGAAGCTGCCACAATGACTTCACTCTTAGGGAATTACTCCGACAACATTTTACCACTTCCCCAAATCCTTACTATCTCAAGGCTCTGAATGATGTTTTACCAGGTAAGAGTCACAGTCAGGGCCTGGCCTTCTCCTCCTGGGCCCAGACATAGCTGACCTCCCACTTCCAATATGTACAGACCTTGGTTATCTCACTGGTCGCAAGTCTTCTAGGCACAATCATTCTTCTATTGATCCATGCTTAATCCACTCACCATCCCCATGTCAACTGACAAATAAGCAAGAGGGAGAGGCCAGTGTCGCTAAGTGTCCATTAGGCCAGTGTCGCTAATTTCCAAGGTTCAAAGATCCTTGGAATCTTTGTACCTTGGGCCACTGCTGGAGAAGCTAATCAGCTGGAGAGAAAAACTTCCCAACTTTTCTTTCATATTTGCCAGGAAGATGGTTCCTTATATTAATGTGCACTGTGCGCCCCCTGCTGGTCCTGAGTGCCACTGCAGGGAGGTTTGTGTCTGGGCTTCCACTTGCATTAAACCACTGTGTCTCTTGCACAGTAATACGTGGCCGTGTCGGCCGTGGTGACCGAGTTCAGCTGCAGAGAGAACTGGTTC